AGCAATACGTCTCTGTCATTGTAAATGAATAAGGAAACTAGTGATACAAACTTGTGAAATAAATCAAGTCATTATCTTGAATTCAAAACTCCACAAGACATCCTCAATCAACTAATCTGACTTTGAAATATGCAAAGGACTCATCAACAAAGTCCTGACTTTATGAAACTTCTAACTTTGTGAAGCATGAGGACTTGAGAAGAAACATTTCTACCAACACTATTTTCATCCTTTCTTTCCAAATAAGCATAAGTAAAACATCAATCTTTACTTTTACTTGTAAGCAAGGATATTATTGAGAAGAATTTTCCAAATATGTAAAGGAATTTAAAAGATAATCAAGTGTCCAGTCAATGTCAAAGAGATACTTATATCGAAAAGGACGCTATTGAGAAGATAATTGGTTGTGTTCAATACCACAAATAATACTACCTCTACACATTTTCAATTCTTACCAACAAAGAATACATCTGATTGCACTGAAACAAGATTTTTAGACTCATGGGACACAATGGAGTTAGAAAAAAATAGGTGAAGTAAATAGTCATTTCTGTAAAAAGAGTGGGGTCTAAGTTCATTCTTACTAACACCCCCCTCCCCCCCTGTCCTTTTTTTTTTAACTGAAAATCCCTCACCGGAATCCAAATTAAGGTGTACTTCAAAAAATCTTGTTTTGACATTGGAAAACCCCCTATTGTTCATATCAACCTTCAGATGTATGTATATGTAAAAAAAAAAAAGATTTAAATTGCATCTAGGCCACCTATTTTCAAGATTTTCAAGTGTTTAAAGCCTCGGACTATCTGCACTAAGTTTAGAGTTTAAATTTTTATATTTAGGGGTAGAAATAGTTTTTCAGGCCATCATAGGGGTTTCTGGCACAGAGATACATTTTCCAGTAGGGTTTGGATGTGCATCTTACTTTTATTAGTTAATGTTGAAGCTTTATAAACAGCACCCTTTGATGAATGGTATAGTGCTACCCTTCATGAAGATTTAACACCAGGAAAGCCCTTCATGAAGATTAACACCAGGAAAATAACTCATCAAACTTTTTTTTTTTTTTATATTTGGTTATTAGTAACCCATTGAAGGTCAAGCATGCATTCATAGCGATACTCCACTAATGGGGATAAGGATGCAAGTGTCATCCTTGCTCAAGAGCCATGCTAATCTTCTCAGTATTCCATCAGATGCATCTGAAGAGACAAATTTGTGTGTTCATGTACGCGTGTATCCATGCCAATTGCCACTAAAGACTACACTTCAGATGCAAAGATTCAAAAAACTTGAGAATTGATTGTTGGAGACAATACATATGCCACAAAATGCACAACTAACAGTTATGCTTCTCACAGGCAATGCAATTTCTTTTTTGGTTATTACATCTAACACGATTTTGTTGTTTATATTGCTCTAAATGTGAACCAAATATTCTTGTAATTAGGGGACAATCGATTAGTTTTACTCTAGATAATATATTATAAGTTAAAATTGATCTAAAAGGTCTCTACTGAAATTCACAATTGAGACATAAGTGGAGCACATTTCATTGAATTAGGCCAAATAATTAAATGGTGAGCTTTCCATCTCAAAATACTATCCTTCCAGTTGTACATCAACATGTTCATAACATGGAGACAAGAAAGCCATCATGTTGCCTAACTCCCCTGTTGAAAAATACAGCCCCCAACATCTGTGTCAATGCATATTCCATAGAAGAAAAATTATTGTAGGGTCCGTTCTACAGGAACAATTCAGTCCTATGTCAGCGTTGTATGGTGAATATCTTTTAGGCCGTTTTGGGCAACTGAGAAAACTGTTGTTCTAGAGAATCTCTGGTAAACTTCAAGCTTGAGAAAAACGTAGAAGTAGAAAACTCATGGCTGGAAGTTGAGAACCCTTAGGGTAATCTGTCTGTAAAAACCAGAGAAAGCTCGGGCTACTGCAAGTTCGGAAATTCGGCTTTTGAGCTGAAATATCGAGGAAACAAGCACCTAAATGGTCCTCAGCCTTACTCTTAAGGAGATTTTTTTTTGGGGGGATATGGTTTGATATGTCGCATTTCAAATAGTGTTTATAATTGTGGAGGTATGGGGTTGATAGTATTTTCTTTAAGTGCAACATTTACCCTTGGATTAGCTCACTTCTAAGGAAGATCAATTAGGATTTGTTCGACATCACATTGAAATGAATAGGACGGTTTAGCATCAAGCCAACATATAATTCAATTCAAAAAATGCCAAATCCTAGTGATGGTACAGTAGGTGAAAATGATCATCTACCAACTTTGAGTTGAATTTGTAATATTTTCAGCTCCAAAAGATCCTTGCAATATTCGAGAAAGAAGAAAGAGCTATATCTTGGAGAAGAATACAAAAAGAGCTACATCTTGAAGAAAAAAGAGCCATATCTTTAGGGGTGGCAATGGACCCGAACAGACTTGAGGACCGATGGATAGACCCGACCTCGGGTTTGGGTATGGACTTGAAAGGTTAGGTCCTGGTCTGGGTCCGGGTCCGGGTCCAGGCGGACCTAACCCGAATAATTTGGCCACATATGGGTATTCATAAATGTTTCCAATAACATGGGTATATGATGGTAAAAACAGTAAGGAATGTGGGTATTCATAAATGTTGTACAATATTTTAAGAACCCGGTTTTTATGTGGCCAAGCCCGCCTATGTAGAAATGTGGGCCTCTTAAAAAATCTATTTTTGAGATGGATTTTAAGACTTAATTTTTAAGGGCATGTAATCTCTAACATGGAGGTCATGAATATGAATAAATAAATAAATTTTTAAAAATAAAAATAATAATTCTAGTAAGAAAACATTTAGACCGTTAGTTTCCATTGTTTTTAGATGGAACACCTACTTAAATCTATCGTTAAGATGGACGCTTTACATTTTCTAGACCGCGTATGTAAAAATGTGGTCCAAGCCTCATGAAACAAATGTTCATATTGTAAATGTTGCCAACAATATGAATATATTATGGTTAGAAAAAAGGGCAAAAAAAAAAAAAGGATACAAAGCTCATAGTCATAAAGTAGCAATGAACTCGACCAGACTCAGGACCAGATAGGTAGACCTGACCTCAGGTCCGGGTATGGGTCTAAATTTTGGAATCGAAATGTCGGTTCTAGGTCCAAAACCTGGAGCCGAGTACTATTCGAGTCTTGGTCCGGACCCGACCCGTTGCCACCCCTACATATCTTGGGAAATAAATAATCTAAATCACCTATTTGCTTCCTAGTTCAAATGCGTTTGGTCTCGTACTATGCAACTTTAAATGTGGTCAATCAGGTAACCAAGGGTTTACACCTTTGTAATTATCACCAACTTATTCATGAGTGGAATATTGCCTCACAACAGGTATAGTAATGACAATCATGTCCACTGAAGGCATATCAAAATGGCTTAGAGGTAGGTAACCAAATGCACTCAACTCCAACTTCCAAGTTCTCTGTAAGTACTGGGTTTTATCAACATTCACCACACATGGAGAACAAGCTCATCCTTCACAAAGAATAGCCTTCTTTTATATTGAAAATTAACTGTAGGGTGGTGGTTTAGTCAGTTCACATAACTGAATTTCAAATTTGCAGTAAAGGGTGTTATAAAATGAAAAATGATGCTTTGAGAAAACAGGGGAAAAAAGGAGGGTAAAACAAAAAAGTGAAGAAAGAGAAAATAACAAAAAAAAAAAAGATCAACAGGAAAAAAAATGGAGAAATGGGTGACATTTGTAACATATAGTTATTTTTTTCCTTTTTTGGTTAAAAACTGTTTATTGTCTTTATAAATGTTATTATTTCCACCGTAACGGTTGCTACTTTTGCGACTAAAAAATATTTCATTACTAAATATGGAACGGTGTGGTTTGTATAGGTTCGAGGCTCTAAACAATCAAAGTAAGATGCACCTTCCAATGGTGTCGAAAGATGTTATTTCAATAAAAGAAATTTTTGTGATGGCTTGAAAATTTATTTTCATATCTAATTATAAAATTTAAAACTTCATAAGTAGTGTAGATCGAGCAGATCTACGAATACTTGAAAATTGACGGCCCGAAAATGTATTAAAAGATGCGTTATTTTTAATACTTGAAATCTAATTTTTTTCATGTCCATGCATCTTGAGGTCGAGATGATCAGTTTAGATTTCAAAACAACTCTTTTTAGTCAAGTTATTATACAGTTTTTTAACCAGAGGGTGTGTTTTACACTTCTATTTATAGAGTATTTTATAAGTATACTCAACAAATTTTGAATAGTAGGTGAAAAAACAAAAATTAAAGCCATAATAACATTTGATATTTTTTTTGTTTTAATTAATTTTTCCTCTCAAAACAAATGGGACTAATATCCCAAAATGATTGTTTAGACAAATAGGACAAATTCTTACATAAGCTTCAAAAAGTCAACAGCTGGAAGGAGTCCACGTGAGCAAGCAGTGTCAGAGCTTCCATTTTACAGCACACGGCATTATTCTCGCCCTTCCCCCTCCTTGCCTCATTCATGGTCATCACGACATCATCCATCTCTCTCTCTCTCTCTCTCTAAAACATATTTCTCTCTCTCATCATTCCCTCATTCTCTCTAAACCAAATCTCCCTCTAAGCATAATCTCCCTCGTCATTCTCTCTCTAAACCACCCCACCTCTCTCATCATTCTCTCTCTAAACCACCACAACTCTCTCTTCATTATCTATCTAAACCATATCTATTCTCTCATCACTCTCTCTCTAAACCATATCTATCTCTCTCATCATTTTCTCTCTCTATCTCAACCATGCTATACCGCCATCAGCCCTCTCTCCCTCTCTCTCTCTACAACAACTATTAAACACCGATGTCACCCTCTGAAGCATCTCTTTCGCGTCCTTTCTTCTTCATTGCCACAACCTTATTATTTTAAGGAGAAAAGCTTAAGCCCCACTTCGCCCCCAATTAATACCGTGCCTTTTAAGCTCTCCTTCCTTACTGTATCTTCACATCCCCCATCACTCTCTTCCCCCTTTCTTGTTTCTCTCTCTTCAACACCATCCCTGCCCTCAAGCAAACTCTTCAACCTTTGCAGCTCCATCGCCAGGCATGCCTGAATGTCCAGAGACAGGTAAATCCATTACCCCTCCCTGAAAGAGAGAGAGAAAGAGAGAGAGAAAGAGAGAGAGAGAGAGAGAGAGATCCAAAATTAGGGTTCTTCTAGCTAGTAAAATTTTATAGAGAGAGAGAAACCCACCACTTCATGATCACAACATAACCCAACATGAAACCACCTACATGAAAATCTTGTGTTTTTTATTCTTTTCCTTTCTTTTATTTTTTTTTTTTTCGAGAAAGGGGATGGTTGGGTTTCTATTTCTTGAGTAAATGATGCATCATAGTTGGTGGTTTATGTGCGTCTGTGATTTTTAGAGAGAGATTGGATGAGATAGGGAAGAAGTTAAAGAGAGAGACAGATGATAGGATGGGGAGGAGAAGCCCATTGCTGGCGCCTGGGGCTTTAAACACCATAACGCCATGCGCTGCGTGCAAGTTGCTGAGAAGGAGGTGCGCACAAGAGTGCCCTTTCTCGCCCTACTTCTCACCACATGAGCCTCACAAGTTTGCCTCCGTTCACAAAGTCTTTGGTGCAAGCAATGTCTCTAAAATGCTCATGGTAAGCACCACAAACTCATCACACAGAGAGAGAAAGAGATAGTGAGAGAGGGAGCTTAAAGCTTCATACAAGCCTTGTTTTTTTGTTTTTTTGGGGGGGTTGGGAGGGAGGGAGATAGAGAGAGAGATCACTTCTTTTCTTTATCATTGTTCTTTTTCCTTCCATTACAGAGGTGAAAGAGAAACCTAATTAAACTTCTCTATATATTTAATTTGTGAATATAAATATTCTTTTTTCCATAAAATTTTCTTATAGATAAGAATTATTCTGAATCCAAGCATATCATTGGCTCTTTATTCTTGATCCCATTTCAAACTGTTACAAAAGAATGGCCCCCCAAAAATGTCAATGGCAACTGCCAAAGATAAGAAAAGAAAGATCCCAAATTTGGCTATTGCTTACCAATTGGATCCAAAAGCTTTCCATAGAAGTTGCTAAACCGACACTTTGGATTCTCTATCCTTATTCATGAATGTCCTTAAATTCACCTTTAAGAAAAGGAAACATGATCAATATCCATTCAAACTTAATATTTTAAAACAAATATATATCCACTCAAAATTTCTGTTTTCTCCAGTTTATGCATCCCACAATCTCACTGACTTTAAAGGCAAACCTTTCCTATCAAAATATTCAAAAGAAATAGAAGTTATCCATGACAAATAAATTGTATCATTTTTATGTTTCTCCATTGGATTTCATTTCTGTGTTCCCCTTCTCTCTCCTCTACATTGCATATCCTACTATCTCACTAAGATTTTGGGAAGAAGGCTATCCCATCAAAAGAACCAATTCTTCTAAAACAAAAAACAAAAATTTAAAAAGTACCAATGGCAATAAAATGGGAGATTTTTTTTTTTACTCCACTATTTCATTCAATTATGGCATATCAACAAATAATAACAAAATTTACAGTAAGTTGATTATGTTGATGAGAGATAAAGTCTTATTATCTCTCTAAATTTGAAATGTAATTGTAGGAGGTGCCTGAGCAACAAAGGGCAGATGCAGCAAATAGCCTTGTGTATGAAGCCAATGTGAGGCTTAGAGATCCAGTCTATGGGTGCATGGGAGCCATAAGTGCACTACAACAACAAGTGCAATCACTTCAAGCTGAGCTCAATGCAGTGAGAGCTGAAATATTGAGATACAAATATAGAGAGAGTCAAGGAATTTTACAGTCAGTTTCTCACTCTACTCTACTTGCCAATGCGGGCCACACGCCACCACCTCCTCCTCTGCCTCCACCGCCAACACAAGTTTCAAGGCCACCGATCTCTGTAGCTGTTTCGACATCGGCTGTTTATATGCCGGCTTCTAGTTCTGATTTTAGCTCCATTTCGAATGATAATGCTTCTTATTTCGGGTAATTTACGATTATTAACTACAGGAAAAAAAAAAAAAGAGAGAGAAAGAAAGGAAACAAGCATTTTTCTTGGCTATATGAATAAGAGAGAGGCCTTTGATCTTCTCTGTCATCTTCTCTTCTTCCTATTCAAAAGAAAAAAAGAAAGAAATGCTCTTGTAATTTCTATAAGCATTTATCTCTCTCTCTCTCTCTCTCTCTCTCTCTCTCTCTCTCTCTCTCTCTCTCTCGTCTCGTGTCGTACGTACGTCGTGTAGTAGTAGTACGTACGTACGTACGTGTACGTACGTACGTGTAGTACGTAGTACGTACGTACGTAGTAGTACGTTAGTTACG